GGGCGCCAGGTTACAGAGGGACGCCAGGATACACAGGGACGCCAGGTTATAGAGGGGCGCCAGGTTACAGAGGGACGCCAGGTTATAGAGGGGCGCCAGGTTACAGAAGGACGCCAGGTTATAGAGGGACGCCAGGTTACAGAGGGGCGCCAGGTTACAGAGGGACGCCAGGTTGTACAGGGACGCCAGGTTATAGAGGGGCGCCAGGTTACAGAGGGACGCCAGGTTGTACAGGGACGCCAGGTTATAGAGGGGCGCCAGGTTACAAAGGGACGCCAGGTTACGCAGGGTTACAGTGGACTTCCAGGTTAGGCAGGAGCGCCGCGAGACACGCATGCCCAACTCTCCATAGTGATGGTGGCGCCAAAAAACGCCTAAAGGCGCCATTAAGTAATTAAGGGCGCCTATGAGGTGCTTGCCAACGGCTCTGTAGGTGTAATCCGCCCCTGACTTTGCCCGCGTTCCCAGAACAATATACTTTTTGTCCTGGGAATCTCTATGTGTATCAAGATTTATTTAAACTGTCAAACACCAAGCGGTCACCGGTGACCGCAACCTATTGTTCTATAATTGTGTCTACAAAACCGGTACTCGACGAGTTAATTCGCTTCGGTAGTACTGTGTGAAAGAGCATAAATATTCATGTTCATACAAACTTTCACATTTAGAATATTATAGTTTTTTATTTAAACTGTCAAACACCAAGCGGTCACCGATGACCGCAACCTATTGTTCTATAATTGTGTCTACAAAACCGGTACTCGACGAGTTAAGGGGGGAAAATCATCGAATGTCTTTTTCCGCCTGGGTGAGGCCGGAGAAGTCATTCGATGATGCTGCGAGTAACATCTATAGACATTTATAGAATTTGATTTGAGATAACATATTTGCACGTAAAGTTTAAAATAGATTAAACATTGCACCGTAAAAAAAGATATTAATTGTAAAAAGGACTCTAATATAAGCCTGTAAACTTAGCTATTTAACTGAAGTCGACCTAAAAATATTATTATGACATTACACAAAAAAAAATCAACCTAACGGCCAGTCCCCATAACCTATATAGCTACAGATTATAAAAACTGCCCTTAGAACACCAACGCCATCTACATTTAAAGGTCAGAACTATTTTAAAAGTATTTATTTAAGTTTTAACGACTTTTAACGGTGCCTCCTCATTTGTAAAATCACTCGTGTCCGTTGTTATACCTCCACAGAGTTCTTTGAAGAATTGCTTTGAACTGTTACATCTTTCGCTAACGCAGTGTGGACACCTGAAAAAAATACAGAAACAAAATAATAAAAAAATTAATCTATACTAATATTATAAAGAGGAAAGATTTGTATTTTTGTATGTTTGTAATGAATAAACTCAAAAACTACTGGACCGATTGCAATAATTTTTTCACCATTAGAAAGCTGCATTATTCAGAAGTAACATAGGCTATATAATATCACGCTAGGTCCTATAGTTGTGGAGCAGTAACCAAAAATGTTTTAAAAACGGGGGAAAAGTATCGTTTCTGAGGCCTTCCGTGGCGTGCGCTGAGCATATAGTTAAAGTTATACAAAAATGCTCTATAGATGAATTGTTCATCTTAACATTATTTTTAAAAAAGTCCGCGAAAAACTATGTAAAAAATCTTAAGTCCCCCCGTGCGAAGCCGGGACGGGCCGCTAGTTACCTATATATCAAACTATTGGCTGCTGCTAGCGGTTGCTTATTTGCGATTGCTTACCATCAGGATCACCTGACGGTAAGCAATCGCATCACCGTTTGCTCGCTTGCCGGTCTAAATACACGAGTAATACATAAATAACATTTTTTTTATCTTTGCCCTCGTCTACCTCGTTGGCTAACTGCATCGATGGTCGCAAGTGCGGCTGCCGGGCACGGGGTCTCGGGTTCTATTCCCGGGTCGAACAAAGTAATACAGGGGATTTTAAAAAATGTTCAGTAGTAGCATAGAGTCTGGAATTGTGTCCGGTATATGGCAATAGACTCACCCTCCATTACATGGGACTTGTAACATAAATAGTGAAAAGTGGGTGTTACATTGTACAGTGGCATTAAGTGTCGTAAAGGCGTTTTTTGGCCTACCCGTTCGCGGATGAATGTCGTGATGATATTTATTATGATATTGATATTCTAAATAAAACAGTTTATAAACTATAACATAACATCACGCCTTTTATCCCCGAATGGGTAGGCAGAGGTGTACATTATGCCACTGTACAATGTCTATCATGTCAATCAATGTCATCTATGTCAAAACTATAGTCTATACTATACAATACCTCGTTAAAAATTGTTTTGATACTTTTTCTTGGTCAGTTAAATGTTTTACTACAATATCTGCTAGCGCCGCTATGAAGGTGGGGTGAGCGTTCGGTGTGGCCGCCCTTTCTATGTGCGTTATACCAGCCTGGAAAAAAAATAAAAAAAATGGGTAAAAAATAAGGTAAGTAGTTTAAATAAAAATCGCGGGTTACTCACGTGAATATAACGTCGCGTGCATATTTAACAAGCCCGTTTTCGCTGACCTTACATTTAACCCAAAGGTTGACTGGGAGAAAATGCCATATGGCATTATGTACCTTATTTTATTTATTTATTCTTTTATGTACACAATTTTATTATGGCACATAAGGCGAACTTAATGCCATATGGCATTCTCTACCAGTCAACCTTAGGGTTTAAGTAGAAAATCATCGAAAAATTAGGTACGGAGAATAAACTAACAGCAAAGAGTGTGAGAGAGAAAAAAAGAAAATATTAAATAATAAATATTTATATGTGCATTAAAGTGTTAATAAATAAATATACTGAGAAAAGCTCTACTAGTTTCGAACCACAGAGGGGTTCTTCCTCATGAGCAGCGTGTGCGGTCGAGACGATGTCTACAGCCGGCACGCTAGCGTTGGCGCTCGCATCGGTGTTGCTACTTGCGCGTGTAGCCCACCGCGCCCTCTGCCGGAAACCACGAGCGTTTGCTTCCAACTCCGGCGGCGGCGCGCCGTATACTAGTAGAGCTTTTCTCAGTATATTCACGTGAGTAACCCGCGATTTTTAGTTAATTTATTATGTCTCACGATAGTTATTATAAAAACAGGGTATGTCGTTTCCTAAATTTTGTTTTAATGTTCGTCTGATAGAATAATTGGGTACTTACGAACCAGTCAAATTCAATACATTTTTCGAACTGTCAAAAACGACAGTTTTCTATGGATTTTGTACGAGATTGTGTATTGTGACGTCACGTTTTTTTAGCGTCAAACAGCACACTTATTTATAAAAAACTAGCTACTTTCGCGTAGTTTATATTAGCATAGAATTATGTTTTATAGCCTATAGCCATCCTCGATAAATGCGCTATGCAACACAAAAAGAATTATTCAAATCAGACTTGTAGTTACGGGGATTAGCGCGTTCAAAAAAACAAACAAAAACCTCTTCCGCTTTATATAATAGTATAAGATAAGATATAAGATACATGAATATTGAAGTATGTCGTTAGTATAATAATAAATAATTACCTCTTTAGCTATATCATGGCAGTACTCAATGTCCAATTCATGCAGCGTCTCTATATGTTCATTCACGAAGGCAATAGGCACTAGGAGTAGATTTTTCTTGCCCTGCTTCGCGTATGCCTGAAAAGAATTATTTAAAAAAATCATCCATATTGTTTTTTTAAAAGATTGTCCTACACTAGGATTGTCTCCTGTGTCGTGGGTGCGTTTACACACATACAAGTTCACATACACATGACACACAGACCCAGAACAATAATCTGTGGATCACACAAAGAGTTGTTCCGTGCGGGAATCGAACCCGCGACACGTTGCGTAGTCATTAGATTAAAATGACTCGAAACCTACCAACGGCAAGTACCAATGTGACTTTTTCCGAGTTATATGTACTGTTTAAGATTATTTAGACACCACTGACAAACAGTGAAGGAAAACATCGTGAGGAAACCTGGACTTATAATTTCTAATAACAAGTTTGAAATTGCCAAGCCATTGTACATACAAGTGTTAACGACACCCACGGCGAGACTGACGGTGGGTACCTACACATTTTTTTTAAATATTTTTGGGTCGTCATTTGCCCACTATCTCGCCTGTAAGCGATGATGCGGCCTACGATGGAGCACGTCGTCCCATACGCAACCTATTCACTCAGGTCTTGAAGATACCCATATATGGGTTTAAAGAATTTAATTCTCATAAGAACAGATACATTGTTCACTTAAAATGAGATACCTATAGTCAGAATTTTAATTAGATTTCAGATTTGACAATACCTACTGTCATTTTGTGAAATAATGATACCACATATAATAGTGTAGTGATGAACACAAAAATCGATAAACAATCAGTGTGTGTGTTTTATAATAAATGTTACAGAAAGTGACAGGATAGCGATAGCGATGACGGCGACAATTTATAAAATAACTTATTACCATAATGCATCTATCTGTTTTATTTGTCATGTTCCTTCATGGTTACATTTTTTTATTTAATTCACACACAATTATAAAAGAAAAGTCTCAGATCGTTTATTAATCGTCAAAACTAAATTATCGGTTCAGAAATATTTAATTTCCTGATATACTTAGTTTACGAGAGTAAAATTATAAACGAGAAGAATCGATCCAGAAATATTGCATTTCCATATCGAATAATTTCGCAACGTCACTATTTAGTACTTGTCATAACGTTGCAACACTGAAATTGTCAAATCTAGAATCGAATTAAAATTTCGAGTACCTATAGGTTCCTTATCTTCTATGATACATATGACAAAATCCTCTAGTTCGGTAAGAAGTTACATTCATTTTATTTTAACGAGATTTACAATGTTTGTACATGTTCCTTAAGTTTCGTTTTGAATGCCATAATGTTGTCGCAGTTTTTTATGTCATCTGGTAATCTATTAAACAGCTGTGCTCCTTACTGTGCATATTCTATTCCTTACCTTGATAGCGTCATCAGTATACGGCTGTAACCAGGGCAACGGTCCCACTTTCGACTGCCAGACCAATCTGTATGGGTTTTTAACGTTCAAATGTAACATCGTGTTGGCTACTGTCGCTGCCACCTCGTGTGGGTATGTGTCACCCCGGGACACCGCCTGCGAGAGAGAAACATTGAATCAGTTAGACCAGTTTAAGATTTTGATAAATAAAATCTTTGTGTATGTTATAACTGTCGTGAGTCATACAACTAAATAAATTTGTATGTTTTTCGACTTACTCATGTAATTATTTGACGAGGAACTCGACTAGTTTCAAGCCATGCCAGAGGCTAATATTCCAGTCAAGAAAAATTTTGTTGTTGAGAAGTAGCATTGTTTTTATAATAACTATCGTGAGACATACTAAATTAACTAAAAATTCAGAGATACTCACGTAAATATACTGAGAAAAGCTCTTCTGGTTTCAAGTACTACTCTCTGACTCGAAACTATTAGAGGTTTTCTCAGTATATTCACGTGAGTAACCCACGATTTTTAGTTAATGAAGAGCACTATATATGAATCGGTTTGTTAATCGGTCTCATCCATCCATCCTCTATTCTAATATTATAAATGCAAAAGTTTGTATGTGTGCGTTCGACTGAGAGAACTGGGATGTAATTTGGAACAGAGATAGATTATGCTCTGGAATAACACATAGGCTACATTATATCCCACGGGAACGCGGGCGAAGTCGCTGGCAGAAGCTAGTAGTTTATATATTTTTTTTTAAACGTTGCCCCACACTAGGATTTTCTCCTGTGTCGTGGGTGCGTTTACAAACATACAAGTGCACATTCACAATGACACCCAGACCCGGAACAACAATTTGTGGATCACACAAAGTGTTGTTCCGTGCGGGAATCGAACCCGCGACACGTTGCACGGCAGCCGGTTGCCCAGCCACCGCACCAACCGTGCAGTCGAATTCAGTCAATTACTTTAAAGTTACCGGATGCCCAATTACCACCTTCCCCCCTCCTAAATCTTCCAAATCCCTGAATCCACAACAATCCTAATTCTTGATCCCCAAAACGCCGGTAACGCACTTGTATCTCCTATGGTGTTCCATGTGTCCATGTGTGGCGTCGATTGCTTACCATCAGGTGATCCGTCTGCTTGTTTACCGACTTATGCCATTAGTGTGGGAGAGCCATGCTTCGGCACGAATGGGCCGGCTCGACCGGACTGATACCACGGCCGAGCAGAAACCGACGTGAAGCAACGCTTGCGTTGTGTTTCGTCGTGTGAGTGAGGTTACCGGAGGCCCAATTACCCCCCCC